CACTTCGCTGGTCTATAAATTTGTTAACGATATGTTATTTTAGTTAGGTATTTAATTTGTTGAAACGTATTTAATTTGTTGAACGTAAACTTGGCTTTGTAAATCTATACAATAGATCCACGCGTTTGAAATAGGTTTATAATTTGTACTTTTTCTTGTTTATGATTTTTAATTCAAACCAAATTACTTATTATTTATTACGAATCTGCATTAAAATGCAGTAATTCTAACATCAGAAGTTTAGTAGTATCAATCTAGCGAGATTTTATCAAACAATAGTAAAATTTGCCATTTGTGAAGTATTAAAATTTGCTGATGTTCTGTATGGCAATTAAAATGCTAAAAGAACATTTTACAGTTTAATCTCAACAGAATTTAATAATTATTAACTACAATTTAATGCTACATTCTTGTAATAAATTTTGCAGTAAATAATGTTGAGCCATTAAAATCTCTGCATTAAGGTTCAGTAATAATGCATTAAGTAATACTAATACTAATAGGTTTACAAAGGGCGAGTCTTTTTTTTTTCTTTAACACATTCTCTCTTGTCGGAAATTAAAAAAGAGAATTATTTTATACGTTCCTTTTAACTTATATAATTATTACAACAATTATGCAATATTAACAGCCAATAATGATTTGCACTTTATGATCAATCAAAGAATGATTAAATCGAATATATATTTCTATATTACATATAATATTATTTCAATGGCTCTCACAATTTTATTGAAAAGAATTAATATCTCGAATGAATGAATATTCGCGAGTAATTCTCGATAAATTCCATTCACTCAGGCTTTGTTATGTACACCTAAGCAAACTTGTCGAGCAAACTTCAGCAACAGATCGGCGGCTACACTTTCGCAAAGTCAGCACGAACGGTGCAGCTGTGCAGTTGTTTTATTCCGCTAACTCTAAATTTATCACTGAGAAGAGACTAGAGAGAGAGAGAAAACGTAAGAGAAACAGGAATAAGGAGGGGAAACATCCCCACCATCCTGTTATTCCTCTCAGGACCAAGTCCGATCGTTTCTCTCTCTCTCTCTCCTCTCTCGCGTCTCTCCTCTCTCCGATCGCGCTTCTTATAGAATAGAAACAGCTGCAGAACTCCCGAATTACGCATACATATGCTCGGAATACAATCGCGCACACGTTATAGGGAATTGAAATGCAACTTTTCCTGGAAATCGTGACGAATGGAAAATCCGATTTTGTTCATCGCGAGATTGGGGCCCATCCGTCGAAATGGATTTCTTCGCGGTGCGCAAAATTGGTTTTGTTCCCGGGATGATTGAAAAGCGCGCGTCGGCGTGACTGTGTTGAAAATTGTTTCATTTTACCTCTCCTCGTCAGTTTGTGTCACACAGTTACACGACTATCAGTTTTTAAGTCCCAACTGTCATTTTCGAATTCTTTGTTTTATAAGAAAAAATAGAGACAAAAAAGTAAAATCTATAAGTAAGATCTAGATTAGAGAATTAAGACGTTGTTTGACATTAGCCAAAATTTTGTCAGATTTCTTTTAAGTTCTAAAACTTTATTTAATCTCAGTGTTATCCAGAGGAATAGTTTGATAATACTCTTTTTTCTCAGAATATACGCGCGCTGAAATGTGCGTATATTTTCAAATTATCAACATGTTGACATGATATTTAAACAGTCATCTGTCCAAGGACGCAACTCTATCGATTGACGTAAACGATCCGACGAAATTTTATATTTACAATGTGACAATGTGGACACTTACGATAAGAACTTTTTTAAATTAATTTCGTAATGTTATCTCAACAACAACGTGCAAGTGTGTGTGCAAAAACAAAAAGCAGATTATTAGATTTTGTTGAAACTCCAATCACATGGCGCTTTAAAAAGCGTAATAGCGGCTTCGGCTCTTAATCTTTTTCGGGTAAGATCTATAATTCTCGTGGCGAGATATTTGTTCCTCGCGAGCGAAGCAATTCATCGGCGGAGAAACGAAAAAAGAAGCAGACAGTCTTGTAAAACTTGTATCTCTTTCTCTCTCTTTCTCTCTTTCTGTCTCTTTCTCTCCCTTTCTCTGAACTTTTTTGGTCCCTATCTTTGTTCACCGGTTTCAAGTGCCGCTGGATGATATTTTAGAGAACGAATTTTAATTTAGACCGCAGCTGCCAGCAGTATCTCTTTCCGACTATCAATGCTCTGTTTGGAAATCTGCTTGGAAATCTATTATAAAGGACCGAATCTGTGCAAGTCGCGACGCGTTCAGGAAAGAATAGATACACGATGAAAAAATACATGGTAAAAATTTATGTAGTTAAATATTTTCCAGCATATATGGAAACATATGATAACTTTTAGCAAATATGTGAATGGGAAAAATTATTACCTTTTAGAGAAAATAAATGGATGAAAAATTATATCGTTCATTAAAGACAAATGAGAAAATAAATAGGACTTTCTAGAAAAATATGTAGCATACAATTAAAATATATAGTATAATGAGAAGCAAATTAAAAATGTATTAATTTTTAATTTTATAAGTATTAGAATTTCTGATTAACTGTAAGCTAAATTATTTTTCTAGCTAGATTAATAATAGTAGAAATTTTTATGTCTTATAGTTGTACTTTATATTTTTATCAATTCTTAAATTAATTTTGAGACATTAAGCTGTCAGAAAAAAATATTCTCGAGCCGAGAAATGAGCAAGTTGCTGAGATTGGATGAACAATTTAATTACGCTTTCGCACATTTGTCGATGATTAATGACTAGCTGGTAATTAATCCACATCGCAGCAATCAGAGAGAGATTGATATGAGGAGAGCGAAACAGAATGAGAGATTAATTAGCTAAGAGATCGTAACGGGTGCGCGAGTATACAACAGAAAGTTCGTTTCGTTAACCTTCGATATCAAGATTTGCTCCAATTCCAATTGCTGCAAAAAATTACTTTCTGTATAATTTATCTCGCGTCATCTCACCGCACTTTGCCCTTAAATCGTCGATTGACGAAGAAACAATTCACTAACGCTTGATAGGCGACGAGAAAATCTAGTTTGGAAATTTAAGTTCAACGGTTATCGCAAAAGTGTGACATTAACCAGTTTAGCTTTTTTAGCTTTTAATTATTTATTTATTTATCGTCCAAATAAAAATTTAGTTATTGAATTTTAATTATTTTTCACATTTTTGTGACAGTTAATTCGCTAATTTTTGAAGACTCATAATTCTTTTGCATTTTGAATGAACCGCTTTGAATAAGTGCTATTCTTTTTTTGTCCTTTACATATCGTGAATCTTATTTTAGATCAAACAATCTTAATTGACAAATAATATTATATTGTAAATTAATTACCTGTTAAGTGTTGTGGCGGATTTCTCCAAGTTAAAATCGAGCGTTATTTTCGAACGAGCGAAATATGTTGAATGAACGCGACACGTATAGATGTACTTTCACGCGAGTCTCGAGGCTACTTTTGTAACACGTATTTTTTCTCACGTCCAGAGAGACACGTGACGTGTTGACGACTGCCGTCGTGATGAGCGCGCAACGACACCGACGACGACGACGATGTATGATTGCCTTCGGGAGTCTTCTCTACCCTAAGACTCTCCTCTATGTCGGCCTGTCCTTGTCTTTCCTGCCCCTACCGAGGGAGCTACGTCTCGGTCGCTCCCTTCCCCAACGTGGGATTCCCCACCAGTCCCGCCGAGGGGGAAGGAATTCCCCCCTCGATGGGCAGCCATAGGTAGTGATGGCACTTCGACCGATTGCGAAACTGCCGAACAAAAGTCCGAATATACGTCCTTTATTCTGGAAGTTTGAATGTCTAACTGGAGCTTTGATACACGATGATTTTGATGTAGAGCCACATTTTGGCGTTTAATTAGCTCAATCCACGAATTTATTTTTCTATTATGTTTCATTTTATTCGTTCTTATTTCGTCTTTAGTTTTTTAATCTTTTCCGATGATCAGAAACGAATGTAAGGTTCTTAATGATGAATTCTATAACAAATACTGAGAGAACAGATAAGAGATTTCACTTTCATTGTTGCGAGAAAGCTGCGACAATAGGGATTTTTGTAGAGTTTCGGTGCCATCGCTAGACGCAGGGTTTCCGACCCGAAAGGGCCGTATCGATTATCTCGCGCGCCTCGCTGCGTAAGTCGCGCTGACTGTTGCGTGAGTTCACGCACACGTGTGAGTTCACGCACCCGTATAAGTCCGAAATTAATCGCAGGAAAGTACACGTTGTACTTACTAAGGGAGTTATAGAGCAGATAATATCGAGGAAGAGAAGAGATAACGTTGCGCTCGAGAAATTTAACGGGGAACACGGCTATAAATTTTGAATCTATGATTAACGTTTCTCCGCCACACTCGTGTGAGTCAGACTTCCGCTAACAGCATGTTAAAGTAATAATTTGACAACATGAATAATTTGCGAAGCTGCTAACGTGATAAAGAGAATTATATACGGAGGATTGTATAACATATGTAATTGGAACTCGCACAATTATTACATATTATAAATGTGATAATATATCAGTGTAATGATATAAGAGCATATTTTTTTCTAGCTTTAGTAGCTTATGTTTTAATTCAGGTGCTCACAAAATATCTGAATTAGTAAATAATTCTCTGCGCAGAATGAATAAACGAGGTTTAGTAAATTTAAATATAACTGGATTTATCGTGTTTATTATTTCACGCACGACAAAGCGTATTATTTTCATATTTATACGTGCACGTTGTTTTTAAATTTCACTCTCCGGCAATGAGATAAATCCACTCCAAGGTAGGATAAAATATATCCGGCCGCACACGCGTATATAGTAATAGATATATAAATAAATATGATGAAATATAAACGGATTTATCTGCCGATAGATGGACCGATAAATAAATATAATAACATGTAATATATTTCTAATAATCTTATCTTTTGATAGGCGGATGAATAAATATCTAATAGCAAGCAATATAATCGATTTGTCAAGCGAATTCTTACCTACACAAGTAGGTAGTCTGGCGATAGTGTCGTTCCACTTGCCGTTTCTGCACTCGAGCGTTCTTTTTCGCTCGCCGCTATCGGAAAACACGCTGCCCGGCTTGCATAGGAATGTCCGCGAAGTCAATGTACCGTTCGACACGTAACTGCCATTCGGCGTCGCGACCTTTGGACAGCTGCGTAATACTGCAAGCATAAGTTCATTTCTACATCTTGCGCTTTCGCGAGTTAACGCTTTGTTGCGTTTACGGTGACGAGCCGATATCTCGCCCCTTTAGAATTTCCGTCATTCAGAACTTTCGTGCCATTTCTGAACATTTGCACGGTAAATGCTAGTGAATTATTAAAAGCTGTAGCCGCTAAAATAATTAACGAAGTAGTTTACGGGGACTTGAAAAATTTGATTGTTGGAAACTTAAAAAGTTAACGGCTGTGAAGTTAAATTCTGCCTTAATTAATTAAACTTTATACTTCTTTGTTTTAGTTTAGAATTTTGTTGAAAGTATGAAGCCACAGAATATCATATCTCCATTTTTTTTAATTAATAAAGTATAATATTTACGACAATTTTGATAATGATGCTTCTTTGGTAATGATTTTCTCAAAGGAGGCATTTACGTATGAAAGAAAGAGCTCATTAACATTTAGCAATAATTTCAGACCGCGAAGATCAAAAGTTTCACTTTGATTTAAGCACAGTTTATTCATTGCTAAAGAAGTTTCTTCAAGTATAAAGTTAATGTTTTTCAAGAACTGGGAGACGTTGACTGAATTATTAGCGTATATCCTCGATTCATTTTTAGAAAGATCAAACGACAGTCTTGTTTTAAAATCTAGAACTTTGGAATTTCTATCTGGGCAGAACTTTGTTAATTATATCCAAGCGCTAACTTCGCCGTGATCTCATGAAGTTGACTTAACTTTGCGCAGATCTGCTTGGCGAAGTACAAAAATACCTCCATTGAGGAATTATTCTCGAGTTAAACGTTGCGTGACGAGTTGCGTGTTCATGACACTTTGCTCCCTAAGATCTCGTGATTTTTTTTTCTTTTTCTCTCTTTACCTTGATACTGCAGCAAAAAACCACGGGCGCTGTTGAATCTCGCTGAAGCGACCAAGTCGAGGGTCAGCTTGTTCGAAATGGAGACGACCCGGACGCCCACCGCGGTGCCGCAGAACTCGAAAAGGGTGGTGTCGTTATCCTTCACCCTCACAATGTCCACGCAGCTCCCGTCCGCCATCGGACCTGCGGAGATTTATTCGCGATTTCTGTTGGATGTTTGCTTGCTCGTGGCGGCGTTTATTTTCTCGGCGATGATCGACGCGCACTCCTTTAATCCGATCGAAAGCTTCCGGTGTCCACATGTAGCGCATGTGCGCTTGGGATAACTTTGTTTTCGCAGTAAACTTGCTGTACGTTAGCGGATCGTTAATCATCTCGCGGTAGGAAAAACAGAAGTTAAAGTGGACTCGAATTCATGATTCGAATAAAAATAAATTGAATTTGGAAAAAAATATACAACATTGTTTGTAACGCCAACTCTATATAAACGTTTTGATATTTATTTCTCTTCTGGAGCGATAAGTTTGCAAAGTTTAATAGGTGAGGGAAATCTAGTAGAACTATTGACATAACTTTACTGTTGCTGTTGAAAAAAAAATAATTTAAAAATTTTATATATTTTTTCTTTTTCGATGAAAAAGTTTAGATGCGATTTAAATATTGTTTATGAAACGGCGAAAGCAATTTGCAGTAAAATTACTTTTCGCTTTTCATTCTCGCTAACAAACAGAGACTTTTATCAGATTAACGCGCCGTGGAAAAGTATCAGGCTTAAAATCGGCGAGCTTACCGCAGATATTTAGGTCATGAAAGGTCAGAACTATTCTTTGACCCGGAAACGTCGTGAAGGTCCATCCGCACGTGTTGTCTCCGAGGTAGAACAGCGGGTAGCCTGGCGTGTTGATGTAGCCTCCTACGTCGGTGGTTACCTTCACCTCTTGATTGCAGTATCGCTTAACCGCAGCTTCTGCAATCAATAAGGGATTAATTTTCTATGCGGTTTCTCGGTGTAGCCGAGTTTATTTACGATGATACTATATTATTCCGTATATGTGGGAAAAATATTTTAAACCTATCGACACTCACTAAGGAATCATTTCCTAAGAAATAAAATCACTTACTGAAAATACATCTTTAGCATATAAAGTCTTATGAATTATAAGTTAATAATCTTTAATCTATTGTACTTAATAATTAAATTTTTTGAGAAGTTAATTTGTAATCCGTATTATCATTAATATTATTTAATTTTAACGATTATACTGCATTATAACTTATAAATTAAATAATATATTGTAGATTACAAATTAACGTCGAATAAGCTGCGGCATTAAATTACTGCAATCTATTCCGCACGCGTATCCTTCAAATTATATATTATACATTATGATATTTTTGTTGCATTGCACATTTGATCAAATAATAACGCCAAATTAATCGCGATATGCCACGTGCACTTGTACAAACTGTGCCAATTCAATGCTACCAGATGTCCCTTCGATTAAATTTCTCTCGGTAACAAATCATTACCGACACGCGCAGGATTCGCGCTGAAAGGGCATTATTTAGAGGGAGGCGAAAGAGAGCAATGTCGGACCGTGTCTCTGCGACCATAAGGTCACGCGTTAACATCTGCATCTCAGTCGCGGTCCATTTGTCGCCGTGCAGTACGTTTGCGGGGTGCTTTTTATAGCACGTATCGCCGGGCCAGAAGGCGAGCGAGGGGGATGTCCTTGCCCCAGTTTCGCGAATAGGGGAGGGTATGCCATTACGGCGCCGGGGGGGAGGATTCGCCGGTGGTGGTAATGAGGGCGATGCAGGGGAAGTTTGGCCCTCTGTCCTTTCCCTCCCTCCTCCCCCCGTTTCCTCCCCCGTCGACCAACGGGCGGTATGTAACATTTCCAATATTCCGAGTGTGACGACCTTCGCGAGGAATGTTTTGAACGAAGCGAGCCGCCTCCGTTCGATCTATTGATTTAATTCGGGAGTTGCTTGTCACAGTTTTAATGAAACGTTTTAAAGAAAAGCGTTCATTCGAGACACCGATAGCGCGAGTTGTTCCCGATATCGTTTCGAGCGACTTGCTTCAGGAAATGTTCCTCGCGAAGAGGCGGGAATTTTAGGAAATGTAAGTTGAGGGTTGGTTAGACTGCATATTTAACAATTTTATAATTAAACAGAATACTTGAAGATTCTAGGCATGTAAATGATCCGAAGATTAATTGCTCGCCGGTCAAAAGTGGCACGTGTGTTTAATACATATTTCTTTAATATATCTGTTGAATGTAGAATCTGTAGAATGTAGAATGTAGTTGAAATTGTACAGAAAACTGTGATTCAGCAAATGAAAAAGCACAGTATTACATTTCTCATAATCGTGTAACGTGACGCGTGTCCACATAATTTCTCGACTTTTGTCACTCCGAAGTCACATAAAACCTTCTTTTCGAAATCGAAAGATCGTGCTAGTGAACAACGAACAAGTAAATAGGAAACGTCACGCTTCTCTCGCAATCTTCGTAAGAAGCTTCCGCGGTTACGTGCCGTACTGTGGAACAACTGGGATTACGAATCCTTCCCGCATCATCGCCTTCGTTGCGCTCGAATGCAGCGTGCATTGTGTATACCGATATCGTGCGCATTATTTCTTGTTTTTCTGCCTTCGAGGGAAAATTTCAGCTGTCACATATTGTCGATCCCACGTCAATAAAAATCGAGCGTGCATCGTGTGTCAACGGCCTGGGGGGATTGGGGAGTGGGCGGACAATGGCCCGATGCGGCCTGATAGAAATCTATGAGAGACGACCGATTTCGTCGTCGGACGTGCAGCACGTGACGTGTCGTGCATTTTCCGGCCGCATGGGCGGAGACACCCGGGATTCTTGCTTTATCGAGCTCGTCGATCATTGATTGCGCACGCCCGCATATCGATCGCGCCGCACGGTTTTTCGATGAGAAATAAAGGCAGATTGGTTATGCTGGGCTTGTAGAGCGTAAATCTAAAATATCGTAAATCCATATTTTTACTCTTGTTTAGGATTAATAATAAAAAACAGAAATAATGTAGGAAATAGTAGAAGGATTGAAAAATAGAGACAATTTAATGAAAATTATAATGAAGAAAACATTTCGAATATTTAATAGGATATTGACTGTACGATGTTAATATCTTTCTTTATATATGTTTTATAGGATATTTCATCATTAATTGTATTCGTGAAATCTTTATGACAGTTGATTTTTTGATAAATTTCGAAGCAGAAGTTTGAAAGATTTTTAAGATTCGTGTAACATTTTCTTGTCTGAGGTGGACAGAAAGAAAATAGAAAAATAAGAAAAAATTAGGAATGTTGATAGAAGTAATTAACTGTCATTAAAATCTTTCTTGATATAGTATTTCTTTAATAGATTCCTGAAGCATTTTGAGAGGCTTTTAATTTTTTTTGCAAAGTTATAGAACACATTTAAATAAGTTTCAATTTTGCAAAATTAAAACATAATTTTTGAAGATAACTCACCCGGTACGCAAGCGTATTTCAAGAGTATTCCACCTGGATTCCAGAAGTGTGCTCTCGGATATTCAATAGTCATATTATAGCGGCAATGTTTCTGCCCGGAGCATCTGAATCATAGAAAAACATTAAAGATTGATAAATAATAATGTAGATTAATAAAAAAGTTAAATGATGCAAGTATTAAATGTCGCAATAAATCAACTCTTTATCTTTCACACCAGATTTTCTCTTGAAACATATTTCGCAAAAATTTCCACGCGAATGAGTCGCGCGATTTATACACGGTTTCGCTTTCGAATAGTATCGATTGTCCGAGAGTCCGCCAATTAAATAAGCGACGTCGGTCATTAGGGGCTGTGAACGCGCTGACAAAAGCAGCCTCGGGCTGCTTTCAGGGGGAGGAGTGGAATTTAGGGGAGAAGCCCCCGCGATTGTTGCACCGATCTTTGTTGCTCGCGCTCGAAAGCACGAGTGAATAATGGCCGAGGGTGGATTCTCACCCCTTTTAAGAGGCTTCGTCACCCCACCCCCGCTGCCACCGCCGCGACCTTTCTCCTCGTCGATTTTATCGGTCTCCCAAACGGAAATAAAAGGGAAATAACATTTCACCCTTTTGCCCTTCGTGCGGAATCTCTTTGAATTTTTTACACCCGCCGGGCGGATTCTCAAATTGAAACTTGCGGTTCCACGCTGGAGATTACGTTCTCCGGGACAGCGGTAAATTGTCCCGCCTGCCGATAAAGTCCGTACAAAGTGCAGTTGCTGTCCGCGAAAGATTAAAGCGCTTAAGAAAATTAAGTTTCTTTTAATTAAAATTCAACGCGGACGAGAAAATAATTAGCTTAATCCTTGCATCGATAATTGTTATAAAAGAGAAATGAAAGTGCATTGCAAACTTATATTAAAAATTCTAGTTGTAAAAGATGAAGTTTCCAATAATTTTTATTTTTTTTTATCACATTTATCAGATTGTAATTTTATCGCTTATATTTTATCTTTCTTTTTTCAATTTAGTGGCGGTTAAAAATAATTTTTACAAGTCCTGGACTTTTTAATCTAAAAGTTATGTTTACTTTCCCCTACGGAAGGGTAGTGTGTAATTCGAGCAATGCGAAATCTGCATCCCTCGCATCGTTCTCTATTTGTGGAATTCTCGGAGCGTAATACTGTAAACGCGGAGGGGTTGCCATTTAACGGAGATCGCTTCTCCTTCAGCGATTATCTGACGCTTGTCGGGTGGGCGGGGGACAATTATTGCTTCAGGAATGCTTTTACCCTCGCACATCAAACGTCGAGATTTTACTCCCGGCCCCTCGACAGCCTCTCGAGTGCAGCGGATAAAAACGGAAGTCGGCGGGGGCGGTTCGATCAAGTGGCTGTCTTAACTGTGTTGCGCAGTAATTGCGACCTTTTAGAGATCATATTTCCGAAACGTTCCTGCTGCTTTTGCGTCTCTTTTTTTATATTTTTTTTAAACACTCGGTTAATTACTTCTATTATTATTGCGGTTATATTAATCTATTTTGCTGTTAAAAACTTTTTTCTAAAATAAATTTTAAAGTCTAATTTATATATATATATATAATATAAATTCTGTTTTTATATTCTTTGTGACTGGCACACTTCTCTTGTGGAAAAATTTATTTCTTTTATACGAAGGATTATGAGCTAGAAGTAAGGTATTAAGGAGCACTTTGCCCGATGCACTATCATCTCGTGCGACCTCACGACAGTTGCAGCTCTGTCGTGAGCGTCTATTACAAATGTTTGTAGTCGACGGTAAGCGCTCGAAACGAGAGTCGTTTTCTAGAACTGTGGTCTACCTCAGTCCTCGCTCGTAACCGTACACTATCTTGTGTCATCGAGTGGCCGTGTCAAGAACAGAAGTTCGATATCGTCGACGAGGACTATGAAAGCTCGATTCAGGCGACGAATATCGTCGATAGAATTGGTAATCAATTCTCTTAGTTGAAAGCGTAAAGTGCAAAATTAAAGAATCGAATTATTTAGACACTATTTTTCCAACTTTGGAGTTAATCGATTTTTTAAAGATTTAAGAAATGAATTAAAATATATTTTTTCTTATTCTCTCAAAATTATTGTTATAAAATTCTGAAAAAATTAGATTGTTGAGTGCTTCAATTTTATCGCAATATCTCGCATGAATAAAATCGATCTACCTTCGATTTAAGGATGATCTAATGTCGACGATATCCGGTGTAATGTCCTCGTCATCCAAGATGTAGTTTCCTCTGTATTGATGTTTTTTTATCTTTTGTTGAATGCTACCTTTGTCTATTTGCTTCTTGAACTTTTCTAAGTATTTCGATTCCTTGAAACAGAACTCTGTACGATTTGCGCGGAATTCCGCTTCCAAGATGAGAATGAATGCTCTCAATGATCTGAAAGTATAAAACTGTGGCTATATTAATCTTAATTATCGCTAAATTAATAAGGTTTAATAAAGAAAATTTAGTTTAATTAAAATTAGCGTGCAATCAATCAAAATTTTAATTATTGTAATTCATTATAGTTTTATTAAACATCAATATTTTATGAAATATTGCAGAACTAAGACGTAAAATTATTAAAAGCTTGAAAATAATTAAATAATTGAATTTTTGTATTTTTTATAACGGAACTAGCTTTAAAAACGTTGAAATAGTTTAATCTCTTGCATTTACCAATAATTAAATAGATATGCAGAAGCTATTGAAAAGTCAAGCAGAATTTAGATTAGACATTCCTTGCGCATGAATGAAGTTGGCGCAAGTTATCTGAGATACTCGCATGGAGTTATCTGAGTGAACGCGCAAGTTCATCTTTCATTTTGCTCGCAGGCTAGAAATTCAAGTCATCTTCTTAGAAATCTCGATGTCGCGAAACTCTTTCTCCCGACGAGACGCGTGATAAAAGAACGCTAACGAACCTGCACGTTAATCGCAGCAGCTCGCGGGAGCATCTTTGCTCCTTGATCACCTCCATATATCCCCCGTGCAGCTTGACGGCTTTGAGGATCCTGCCGAAGGGCGCTCGCGTGGTCGCGATGATCCCGGACGAGAAGGCGTTCGCCGTGATCGTCATCAGCAGCAGCACCAGGAGACTCGTCAGGGTCGTCGCTACCAGCCGCGCCATGATCGCTGATCATTACAGTGACCGGAGAAGACGTACCCTCGCGCGAGCTTCTCGCCGCTGCGCGAGAAAGAGCTTAAAATTAGCCCTCGAGTGCCCCCCTTCGTGATAAGCGAAATCTCGTCAGAAGGTGAACGCCGCGCTCCCGCCTTGTTCCTTTCAGGTTCTCCCACGACCACTCGACTACCAGCAGCTCCCGGGGTCGGCGACCCCTCGCCCTTCCGGGAACCCGGCTCGATTTTACCCTCTCGTGCCCCAAATGGCCGCCTCTTAAGACCTGAAAAATACATACGAGACTCAATGACTGAAGCACTTCAGTACAAGTACTTTTCTTAGTAGTTTTAAACAAACTGATCTTTTCTTTTGAATCGTGGACTCAGATAGCGCTGTTAAAAGGATATTTTTATAGTGTAGTTTTATCATTTATGATAACACATATTAGAGTTATTTTTCATAAATAAATTAATGGATAACTATAGGACTCATTTTTATGTCAAATTGATATGCATATGTGACACATCAGGGTTTAAAGAGTTAAGATATTTTTTAGGTAATTTGTTGTATTTTGAGATTAAAATTTATTGGATTACATTTTATATTGTAACAATCGAAATCCATTTCTTTTTTATTTGTCTGCTTAAAATCAAGAATGAATTACTTTCTCGCGATTGAATTCGTCGAGTACTCGTCTAAATGCAAAGCGGCTTCGATTGCTTGCGAGATAAATATGTGAAAAGAGACTTCGGCATTCAACGGCATTGATAGAGCTGGATAATACCTAGGAAAGTTTTCCGTTGAATGCGTTGAATCTTTAAGTTGGACCGAGGTCAAGAACTTTGGGGTCGCATGAATAGATGCAACTCAAAAGACAAAGAGAAAGAAAGAGAGGATGAATCGAGAATCGCGCGGAAAATGTGACGCTGTTAAAAAAAAGACGGCTTGGAACCGTGCCGCACAGGCGCGAAAAAAAATATTAAGTATCGCGTTTCTTTGCAACATAATAGCTTGTATCGCACGAGTTATATTTAACTTTAACACGAAGATCGCGAATTTTTGGAACGCTGGTTATGACCGGCAAACTTTTAATATAAGCAGTTTCTATAAATAATCTGATTACATTCGATTGAAAATTTTATCAGAGTTATATTAAAACTTAAATTACTAGAATTAAACGAGGTATTAATAGCACAATAATTAATTAAAATATAATTACCAATTCTTTCAAGTCTCAGAATTTTAATATAAATAAGTAAAAATTCTTTAAATAAGATTTCTTATTCTATGTGAAATATTTTTAATAGACATATAATTTTTAGATACAATTTTTAATATATTTTTAATATATTTTTAATATATTTTTTGTAGAATTTGATTAATTTTTAGATTAAGTTTTACTGCATTAGAAATATATCTAGAAATTTTGCAATTTAGAAATGAGATGAATTATATTGGAATTTTTGTTGTTCCAAATTCGATGAAAAATTAATATAATTTACATTGTTAGCTTACTAGAGAATTAAATTCATTATTAATATTTATTTCGCAAATCGATCTTTCGAAACTCATCCTCGATTCTCAGCGATCATCAGTGAAATTATCAGTGTTCCGCCGCGTGTATTTCGACTGCAGATCGTATGGTTCTCTTTTCGTTACCAATGGATCGCGATCCCTTTTATTTTTGGCGATATTTCGCGATCTCTTGACTCTTTCGTCACGATTGCTGCGTTTGTTGGTAGAAGCGAGTGGCGGTTCCCCTGCGATTAATCGACCACGGCCAAGTTCCAGGCGGTGTAAAGACAGCGCTGCCCCCGTGGTGTCTCAAGGACGATTAGAATAGATAGAATAGTACACGTAAACACGTTCGCGGATTTAGGCGTTCGCGAATGATGAAACGCGCTCTCGATTCCACGGTGGAGAGATTGCTTAGCACGTCGCTTGATTGACTGATTAATTAATCAGCCGATAATTGGACGGCAATCTTGCTGAATTGTTTCTGATACAATGAACAATTAATTATTTTCGTGAGTTTGTTGGTTCGGATTAATTAGATTCCGATAAATTAATTTTGTTCAATAAGTGCGCCAACTGGTAATTAATTTCGATTTGTGTTAATTAATTCTAGTTAAAAGATATTGGGTCCGTCATTTTGTTGATTAATTGGTTAATAAGCATTACTGCTGGTTAATTAACTCTGTTTTGTTAGCATTAAGTATGAATTAATCAATTTTGTTAAATTAGGTATTAGATAATTTTGTTAAATTAGATATTAATCAGATAAATATTATTGTACTGAATTATAGAATTTCAGGTTTAATTATTGGGTATTTATCTCTTTGATTATACGTTTATTAATGTACTCATTAATTAATTATATTTAAGCAAAATTTAATACAAAAAATTTTAGTACCTTAAAAAATCTCACAATTTTGAAATCTGCGTTCTTTCTGAAAAGTCTTCAAAAATTCTTCGAACATCAAATCACTGTTTTAATCTTAATATTGATGGATTAGATAATAAAAGTAATGTAACATTTCTTCAACACTACACTAGTTGGCACATTTTAGCCTCGCAAATTAGAAAAAGTTTTACACTTTGACTGCGCTCCATTCGCATGAGTAGGTAAAAAAACCATCTGTTCGAACATGACACTGATTGATTTAGTTAGCATAGAAAAAATGCGTTAGCACTATTCGAAGTGACACTGATTAATACACTTGGCTCGAAAAATTGCAAAAATATCTTTTCACAATATTTGGACGTGCACTGATTAAATTTGTCTCGGCAGACGGAAGAAGAGTTCCAAACTTTCCCTTCGAACGTTTCACGAATCCGTCTATTATATTCGCGAACTGAACAAATATTTTCTAATAATATTTTTCGAAAATATTCCAAACATCTTTTCCAAAATATCTTTCGCATCGGACAGGGCGCATTTGATTCCCGCTCGTCATCGGCGGCGTGTAATAAATCGCGACGCACGCGCGCGCACCGCGACGCGACTAAAAGCAAAGCGCCCGTTCGTGTCGGCGATTCGCCGACGTGTGCCGCCGCACCAGGTCGCTCTCGGTGGCAGTGTGATGATGATGCCTGCTCCCTTGGCCGCTGCCGCTCCGCAGGCATTGACACACGCGGTCTAAGCCGGTCTGCATACATGAATTTCACGTCAGCCAGCCAGCCGGTCGACCGGCGAGCAGCCCGGAAGCGGTCGGCGGTGGTGTTTCTAAAGGGGGAGAAAAACTACCCTATTGCAAGCGTGTGCAACGACCTCTCGGGGGTCGCGTGTACCCCTCATAGATAGATTCGGTGCCCCCGTTCTTGCCGGTTCTCGCGCGCACTGCCCCCCTCGTTCGATCCCTCCACTTCTAACGCTGGTTCTCTTTCTTTCTGCTGATCCCGGCAGCTGATGTCGACAGCTGAGGATTTTCGGGTTTTCGCGAGGATCGACTGGGATAAAGAGTGACGCGGGATCAATGAGGGATAAAGAAATCGAGAGAAAAATTCACGGGATTCTAGGGATTGTTACGTTGTTGCGATTGCATATTCTGTATAATGTGAAAAATTTATTGATGGAATTGAGTTTTAAACGTTTATTTTTAATTAGGAAATACAATTATATATTTATTGTTTAGTTTACTTTAAAATATATATTACAGAAGTTTATTTAATCGTTATTACATTATGAACTCATATTTTGTGCAATAATTTTAATGAATTTATTTACAAAATTAGAATAAAAAATCGCGAAGTATACAAAAAAAATTTTATTTTAAAATAATAGATAATTTTGTGTCTTGTATTTTTCTATAAATTTTATATTGCAGAAATAAGTATACAAAAAAAATGAAATTAATTATTAGTATAATCTCTTTCTTTTTTGACAACTTTTTTCCATGATTTTAAATGTGAAAAATTAGGAAACAAATGTTTTTGAAACAACTAATTATTTTTTAACAATAGATTAGACTCTTAGAAATTAAAAACAAATTTCTAAAACTAACTTTAATTGATTTAAAGCTGAATTTAATATAATTTTATTTACAATAGAAAATTCAGTTATTCAGGCTTCCGTGAAAGTCGATTAAGTCATTAGCAGTAATTTTACGGCAGACTTTCTTTGAACCTAAATTTCAAACCCTTAAATATCCGCAATGTTTGAAAGAAATTGCTCGATTTTGGGGGAATTAATCTTTCCTTTTCTTGGTTGCACTATGTTTTCTTCTATTTCGGAAGCTGAATTGTTCGATGATTTACGAGAGAGATCCGTTATCCATTGTGACAGGCACGCGCTCGTGAGCGCGCATCTGCGTCTCCACGACGGAAATGTCGCGTCTCGTTTCGGATGTACACCGGTTGTCATCGATCCCCCTTGTACGTGAATCGAGAAAGGCACCTTGAGATTTTTGCTTCTTGAGAAGGAGCGGGATCGACAATCGTGATACGCGAGAAATCGCATCTGCCATCGTTGAACACGTGCTACTGCCACTCCTCATTCTTTTAGGGGAAATAAAGGGAGACTTATGAACCATATAATCGATAGATCATCGAGTTTTTATGTACTTCTGGATAGAGAAATTTGATTTATGAATTGTGAAAAAACCTCACGTTGCAATATGTTAAATAAATTAAAACATTTTTTAGATTTTTATAAATTTTTTTCCACAATTTTATACATCAATCTTTTTTCATAGTTTAATAATAAAGATATTAGATTAAATTTTTTTAAAACAAGAAACTGATTTTAGGGACATTTGTAGAGAAAAATTTAATAACAACATTATAGGAATTTGTTTTCTTAATCTTTTGATGGCAATTTATTGCAATTTTCTAACTTTTGGCTTTATAAGTATATTTTTGCAATTAATTGCAAGTGTCAAATTATAAAGAAGTAATTTTGGGGGATTTATTGTTCGTGATATAATAATAGCGTATCGGGAGAAATACAGCAAGTATTTCAGAGGCGAATTGCTGTGACCGCGTTTTTTTTAGCAACTTCAATTGAAGGCCGACCGCAAAATAACGGACGAACCGATATCCTCCCTTCTGAGAAGCCCCCCGTCATTACACGTGTTGTTGTAAATTAGATCGACATGTGCGCCTGGTCATGGCTCGTTTAATCCACAAACTCAATGGAAGCTTAGTCAAATTGCATTTCTAATTCCCTTGTTCCATTTTGCATTGCACGCCTGAGGAAACGCGCTGACACTTCCATCCGCGTTTCGCCCCCAAAAGGATTTTATCGATCAAACACGATTACGCGCCCTCTGTTCGCATTTATTGCACAAGTTAAAGACAATAACATTTTTCGCAAAGCAACTGGCCTAGAATAATTCTAGAATACCGTAAAATATTAAAGCAGACTATCGGATTTAATTAAATTTAATTTTATGTCAAATTTTTGTTTAAGTTTAATTTAACTTACAGTTTTACTTGTTTTTAAAACGGATTTTTCAATTTAATTTGTGACTTATTCCGAGACGCAAACAGATTTTTTTTAGACGTGAACTGTCGTGCAAATTTGCGGCAATCCCTCGCGCGATTTTTAACCGGATTATACACCACGTGTGCGCATTCGTTTCGTTACGTAAGGGAACCGTGCTGTCCCACCTTATCGATCAGCTGAGAGTTACGTATCGCGCTTCGTGTAAACCGCGAGGAGAAATTCGCCGTGTGTGAGTGGTCTTCTAATTTCAGCGTTTCCGCGAGCGGTCTCGTTCTACTTTTATCGTTCCCGAATGGGAACCTATCTCTCTATTCTCGACTATTTACTTTCTAAACAATATACTTTGTAGTCGAGAAGTGGCTCTCTGTATTTTTCAATGGCTTGGGGATATTTGCCATAACTTCACATACCTGCACGAATCGTTGCGCGTTATTATATATTTATTATATGACGAATGATTAAATAATGAAAAATTATCTTAGAGGCAAAAAGTAACTATATAATGTTTTTATTTGTGTTATTTAACGTTATTATTTCTATTCTTTACCTTTATTGTTTTATTTTTTTTCTATTTTTAAAAGTTAACTTTTGGCTCGCGCAGAAACCAAAGATAGCAGCGTGAATTATCTCGTTTCTGCGAAGCATCGTTATTTGTTGAAGAAGTCGGCGGGATAATTCAGTCGATGGATGACTTTTGATGCAATTTTAGTGCGATCGATGGTTGCTGATTCGTGTTTTATGACATGTGTAAAATGTAGCAGAGCGGGAGCGGGAGCTTTCTTCTTACGTCAAACGCTACCTCCAAATCCCACGCCGCAGCCGGGTCGAATGACGCAAACGAAAACAAGCAGCGCACTCTCCGCGTGGCTCTCCGCGAAGCAAAGCAAACGCTACACGAAACCCGCGAAGCACGTAAAGAATTTCAACGCGAAGCAGATCTTTATTTTGTTTGCTTTTTTTCCTGAAAAATTGAGGAAGTATACTCCGAGATTTCTAACAGAGAAACTCGTAAGAAGAGTAACACTAAATATTTTGAATTTCTTTTTCCGTGAAAAATGATGTTTATTAAAAAATAGATTTAATCGAAATCATTATTCGTAAAAAAATTAAATTTATTAATTTAAGAGATAGTGAAATTAAAATATCTCGCAATATCTAAATGTTTACGTAACTCTTGAATACATTTATAGAAGAGTAAAAAAATAAAGGGATATTTTTCATTAGTTTAGGAATTTGGGAAGTCTCTTTACTTTTTTACTTTTCGTAGTATATTATAAATTCCTAAGATTTTAGCAAGAGAGCGAGCATTTAATATTTGTGTTTTATTAAATATGTGAATATTACTAATATGTCAATATTACTATTTAAAAAGGAATAAAGGGACGTTCTTGAGAGAGAACGAAAGATACGTTTGATTCTCGTGGTGAACATTTTATTCAATTAGTAATAATAATCGTCATCATCATAGTAATAATAATCACCATAATCATCATAATGATAAGAACAATTATAATAATGCCAGGCGCGCGTGCCACGTCTCCACGTATCACAATCTTACGTGGCTTCTGTATAGTCGTGTGTGTGAGTCGATTCGTTTTACTTTTCCCTCCTTCCTCTTATTCTTCCTATCGAGGATTACCGCAACGTTCGTGGCCTGTAAATTTTGTTCACCAGCACGGTTCTCTGAAAGCTACTATTCATGTCGGTCGCATAGATCCTGCAATCCCTCTATTGTCCTGATACTTTATTCTCGCGCGATCTTTATTCTTCCTGGAAAAAGGGGATTTCCTATTCTTACTATTTTCTCTCATATTTCCTCGCTAAGTCTGCTTAATAATCACGTTGAAATAAAATTATGAGCGAAACGTAGCAAGAATTTATTTTGGCTTAACAAACAAGCTTATAATATTTACATTTCAGTTATTCATATATGCTTGCCGTATAAATAATTGTGAATGTATTGGTTATTATTATTTTGTAAAGACTAGTTTTCAAATTATCGCTACGCGCGCACATTAAAAATATGCTTGGTTATTGAAGAGTGATTGCTCATATGTTTTATTTTATAAGGCATGACAAACGCGCGTTTTTTTTCCTATGTCAAAAAAATCACTTTTGCAAAGGAAAAAAGGAAAATCATTTAATTGCAATATCGCAAACAATGCGAACGGCGGCGTTTGAACAAAAGCCGTGCTGGCGAATGAAGTTTATAGGCCGCGGACGCGTTGCGCTTGTAGTAAACTAACGAATTACTCAATTAACGCAGTCCGGCGCGCTGGTTTCGCTTTGATCCATGCACTTCGTTTGTGTCCGTCCGTGTGTGCTGGTGTATTACGCGTTGCTGCGAGAGTGTACGTGTGTATCAGAGATGTACAAGTTCGATTGCAAAAAAGATGATCTATGAAATGCGTATGAACGAGCTGTCGCGCGTTATGTACAGTAGTAAATTACGGTTACAATTACATTGGTTTACGTGTCGATTTTTAACGATGGGGAGGGAAACGGCGCTATTATCATGTCACGCGAGTTCTCACGCTCTTTATCAAATTACATTGTGGTGTGTGGATGACGACA